GTTCGCAGGTGCGTTTGCACGCGCGCTTGCGTGCGCGCTCGCCTACGCGCTCGCCCTTCGAGCTGATAGGAAGCACGAGTCCGCCGTCGGCAAGTCCGCCCAGTGACGGACAAAATGTCACGTCACAGAGTATTCAAAATCTAGGATGGTAATACCTTTCCAATCCATCTTATGATTATAATTTTGTCTATGTTGAGAAATGACCGATAAGGAACTAGAACATTTCTTTATATCGTTCTTATGCTCTTTTAAACGTGTGTTTAATTTTCTTTTTGTCTGGCCCACATATGATTGATTACAATCCAGACAATTTATTTTATATACCACATTAGAATGATTTTCTTTTTTAATTTTGTCTCTACCCGTTTTTATGAATTTGTTCAAACAATTCATTGGTTTGTATGCAATGTTTAACCCAAATTTTTTTGAGATGGATTGAAATTTTTCTGAGATATTATATAAATAAGGAATGGTGAAGTATTTTTTAATTTCGATGGAATCCGAATTAACAACATTATGATGTTCTTTGATATTTTCAAAATTATTTTTTAGCGTTTTAATTCTGTTATTTATTGTTGGAAATAAGAAATCCGTTCTCCTGAAATTTACTAATTAAAGAGACAATATTATTGTGGTCGAAGATTAGTCATGCTTATTCTATTATAATGCAGCGGCCGTCGCCTTCGGCCTCTCTGCCGCGTCGATAACTAATCTTAGGAGGTTTCTTCCGCCGGGCTCTTACAAATGACCAGAGAGTATGTCCGTTCTATGTACAGTATATTTTACACTAGTATTTACAGAGTATTTGGTGGCTCTGAAAAGGCCGATTGTGAGTACTTTGAGTGGCCCTGAAAAGGGCCGTTTGATGCGGCGCGGATTACGCCATCAGTCGCTCCCTGTATTCTATCTCCGGCAGGCAGCGCGTCTTCTTCGTTGGCCCCCAAGGTTGGTTGTTATTAAGGTCGGTCGCCCTCCAGACCGGTGGTGTTCCCGGAGGCGTGTGCGGCGACGCCCAGTCGTCCCTTGTCGTCTGCGTGCCCGTCGAGAGTCGCGGTGGAGTCTCTGGTGACGGGGACACAGCTGCTGGCGG